CCTCTGATCATGCGCATGGCTCTTCTCTGGACTCTCTCAAGCTTCTCCACATCCTTTTTGAATTGTGAGGCCCAAGACTGGATGCAGTACTCCACCTGTGGCCTCACCAAGGCCGAGTACAAGGGGAGAATGACGTCCCGGGATTTGCTTGAGATGGAAGCCACCGTTTTGGTCGCTTTACCAGCTGCAGCATTGCATTGAAGGCTCATGTTCATCTTGTGGTCAATGGTGACCCCCAAGTCTCTTTCTTCCATAGTGCTAGCCAGAGGATGGAGCTAGACTGTTCTTAGTGGTGGCAGATGACAGAACAAGAAGCAGTGGTCTCAAGTTGCAGCAAGGGAGGTTTAAGTTGGATATTAGGAAAATCTTTCTTACTAGGAAGGTGGTAAAGCACTGGAACAGGTAACCTAGAAGGGTGGTGGAATCTCCATCCTTGATGGTTTTTAAGGCCCAGCTCAACAAAGCCCTGGCTAGAATTATATAGTTGGGGATGGACCTGCTTTGAGCAGGAGGTTGGACTATATGACCTCCTGAGGTTCCTTCCAATTCTATCTTTCTATGATTCTCTGATCCCCTGCAGCCATCTGACTGCAGAGCTCTTCACCCTGATGCCTGCAAGGCCTCACTGACCACCTGGTCTCAGGCACTGGCTTTATGTGCCTCCTGAGCCCCGGGCCTTTCAGTCAGGCAAGTCTTTAGCCACCCACAGGAGTTTGGAAATAGGCTTGAGGGCTGGCTGCTTGGGCAGCTTACAACTGCTGCTCTGGCTGCACTCTTTCTGCTTGAGTGGGGCTCAGCCCTATTGTCTTAATGCAGTGCAGTCAGCTCTGCAATAGGCACTCATGGCCTCTAGTCCTTGGGTTGCCTATTCACCTGCATTCAGCTCACCATGGGCAGCTCCCCCTCCCCCCTGCACACTCGGGGAAATTTCTGCTGCTACTTTCCCTTTAAAATAACAAAAGCCTTGGCTAACTGTCACTGGGTCTTGTCCCTTAAGCATGTGCTGAGCACTGCTAGTGCACAATGACAGCAGTGCATTCAAAACAAAGCGCAACAACCAGTGACTTTTACTCAGAAACCTGAAGGAAGTTCATGGTGCTGCCACCACCCGGGTTTTACACAATAGCCTAGTATTTAAAGCATCTAACCAGGAAGAGGAGGAACTGGTCTCTACACTTTCCTCACCCTCCTTCCAAGTAGAGTTTCTTAGCCACCATGCTATAACTGGTAGAAATTAAGCCATTCATTGTACAGACCAGACCAGAATCAAGGGGCCAGGAGGACCATAAGAAAGAGGAAGCCTGACTCTGTGACCAGATGATTAGGACAGGGTGGGATTTGGTCCATAGAGTCAAGGATATTTAGTAGTGTTTGGCAGTGGGTTTTCATCTGCACCCCAACCGGGTAGCAGGGGGTTTCACCTATGCTGCAGCTGAGCAGTGGGGAGAAGTGTCAACAACTGTAACAGCAGCTGTTGTGTCCCAGTGCCAGAACTCCTCAGACCCAAGCTGGGTTATTCTGGTCTACTACCAGAAAATGTTTCTGATCACTGAGTTATAGCATTCAGCCAAGAAGAAGAAGCCCTGAGTTCTATTTTCTATCCAATGACTGTCTAATGTAAAATGCAGAAATGCCCACAGAGCAAAGACAGGAATTTAGGACTCTCCCCTCCCCTGTAACTTAATGGTTTCTAGTCACTGTGACAGTATCTATCTGTGGAGGGGTGTGCCACTTCTACTCCATTCAATATTCTAACACACAATCCTCCTGAACCCCACTGATCCCCATCCTGCCCTCAGGCACTTGTTGGGGCCCACAATCAGAAAAAAGCACATTTTGGGATAAACATGACGTATCTTTACCAGTGATACTTCGGTTTTTTATAATACTTACACACCATAGAAAAAAGGTTAAGCCACTTACAGTTGCACAGAACTTTTTGTTTTTGTTTCCTCCAAAACCCAGTGCATACACGCATGTTATTTGTGGAGAAAAGAATTTACTTAAAATCCTTAATAGTGATGTGAACATAGTTGCAGTTAAGGTTCTAGACTGGATGATACTCAGATATTATGCTACATGGCATATACCATAAATGCTGAAAACATTATTAAATGGGCATAATAATAATTCCTTTCCCTTATGTTTTGAGTGCATGTTGTTAGTTATCTCTCCTTTATTATGTGTGTGTCTGTACAGCAGTTACAACAATGACAACTTTGACTTGCTCCGTAAGTGTAACTGCAATATAATCGCATGCAGGCTGAATTTGATCTCTGCACTTAAGGTATTTCATTAAAGCAGTTTGAGATTATCACAAAGTTTGAGAGAAGACTGGGTCTTTTTTAAAGGCAAACATGTCACAAGACACAACAGTCCAGCTATGCTTTACTGTACCAATGGTGGCATTTATTTAAAAAAAAAATAAAAGAAAATTTCAGTTGTTTGCAACTGACAAATATTCATGACCTGAATGCTGGCCTGTTTTGATCCAAGTTCAGTTTGATAAAGTCTTTCTACTTCTGTGCTTTCAGTGGCCATCTTCTGAAGCAAAGATCACTTTTCTATTCACAATATTTGCTTTTTCATCGGTTCTTTCATGGAGTCTATTGGGACTCTTCAAGCTGTTCCTTACGAAGGGAGGCTGTGACCTTTCTGTTGGGCTAGATACAATATGAAGTACTTTGCTCTAGTTTCTCTTTTTTTCCATAGGTATCTGTGAATGTGCTTGGCTTTTCACGTGAGCTTCATGTCAAACTTCCGAGATATCAGGTTCAGTGCTATTTAAAAATGAGTCTTTTTCAGGTTATTCACCTATGTTTTCTTTCTCTTTTTTCCACTTCAGATTTTGAGCTTTTCCTACAATCTTCAAGGGCTCTGTCTTGGAAATATGTTTTCTTTTTTAATTTGCAATTATTCCAGCAGCTATTACCTGCTGTCCCGCCACTACACAATTCCTACAGCAGCTCCCCTGGATTATACATTTGTGTGTCTGTTCCATATCTCAGTGTATCATACATAATCTGGGACCATGCAAAAACTATTGTTAATATGTGGCATATCCGGGCCCAAACTGTCTGTCTTCCAGGACCACAAAACTTCAGATGCTTGCTTTTAATTTTGTACAATGACTGAAAGTCAAGTTGTGAGCGTACCTTAGAATGACAACGCATAACATAGTAGCAGCTTAATAGTCTGATATGAAGAAAGAAGCCCTCTTCTGGGAAGGGGCAGAGCACTCATAGTACCTATAGAGTAATCTTTTATTAATTAAGTTTTGTAGAAATATGAATGGCCTATTGTAACAGGCTACAGGCTTGCAGCCTGGAGCAATTAGCCAGCCAGTTAGCAGGATGTCCACATAATGGGTTGCAGATGGCCCAGTTAATTATTAAATGAGGAGAATTTGACTAGTTGACCTGGAAATAAAAGGGGAAAGGAAGTGAAAGTGAGTTGGGGGGACTGGACTGGACTGGACTGGACTGGACTGGACTGGACTGGAGGTAGGTAGGTAGGTAGGTAGGTTTCTTTGCAGGGAGAGGCAGGTGGTTTTGAGAGAGAAAAGAGTGGAAGGTGAGAACCAGATTTTGCTTTTGGGGGTTCATTGTGGACCATATGTATTTTTCTGTGGTGCTCTGTGGAGTGGATTGACCTAGGGCTTCAAGCTCAGTTTGGATTGTTTTGCTCTTGGCTGAGGCCTGGGAAGCAGAACAATCTAGGCATTACAGCCTGTATTTCTGAGCCCACAGGAAGACTGTTGCTGGAACCAGATTAAAAGGCTCAAGGACTGATTTGAGTCAGACATAGCCAGGGTAGCTGGCAACCTACTATACCCCTGTTCCAAAATATTTTCATGCTGAGTCATTTTAATGCATATTCTCACTGCTCTTTCTCCTATTCTTGCTCCCCCTCCACCCATTGCTACTACTGATTTGGATGGTTTATATATTTACATGCACGTGCGTGCACACATGCACCCCCCCCTCTCTTCAGTCTGCACCCATACATTAGGTTGCTCTTGTCCCTGCTATACTACAGTGGCTATGGGAATAGTGGCTTGATGATGGATCACTTCAGAAATGGACATCGTGCAAGGAAGTGCATAGTTTGTGGGAACACTGGACAAGTGGGCAACAGGCGCTGGCAACAAAAAGCAGTGAAAGAATTAACATAGTAAGTCAAAAAGAGATAAGAAGGAATTTGGACTTGATTCCGATCTGCCATAGAGTGAAAGTTCCAGTATCACCTGAGTGGGAGGCACTGAGTTGACTTCAGAAATGAGAAGGAATTTAAAATTCCTGTGAAGTGGGTACATATCCCTGGAGCCACTCCCACATTTCTCTTTGCAACCTGAAAGTTGTGCAGAGATCTGCAGTTCTGACTCTGACACCTAGACACACTAAGAAATGATATGGTCTGAGCATCTGGACCCCCAGTTCTTGCCTAAGATGAGTGGGTTTCAAAAACTATATGGAACGGTGCTAAAATTTCCAACTGGAGAGGCATGTCTGAGCACAATGACAGTACTGAGTTCCATACAAAACACAGCTATTTTCATTAGAACACAATAATTTTGGTTCAGGCTGAGGAAATTCTTTAAAAATGTTCTTTTCCCCACATTCTAATCTTCTTTTTTCTTTCCATTTACCCATCTTTCCTTCTTAGCACATCACTAATTTCAATCGAATTACATCATGACATTGCTTAACATACCTGGCATATCAAGTATATTTTGATTTTTGCTGTTGTACTGAATGTAATAAAATCTGTAAATTCATATACACACGTACTATATTTTTACAGTGGTCACTCCTACAGGCTTACCAACTGCCTGGGGTATACTAGCTTTGGTAAGTATATGAGGCTATATATATAATTTAAATCTATAACCTTAGTGTTTTCGTGACCAATTCAAAATACATGTTTTTGATAGTCTTTTGAAGCTTGGGAGATAGTTGGTAAAACAGCCAACAATATCTTTTCACAATCAACTTGCTTACTGTGTTAGTTGAGTTTCCATTTAAATGTAAACCACTGTCAAAGAGAGGTGAGGAAGCTCCACTGCTGTGATCACTGGATGGTCCAGGGGAACCTGAAACCACAGGATGAAGAGTAGTTGCTTAATTACATTTAAGAGGCATTAAGCAGGTAATAATAATTTCAATGGAGGTGGGCTAACAGCATAAGAGTTTGTAATTTTTACTCAACAGATGAAAACACCCATCTGACTGCATTCAACAATATCTGTCTGAACATATGCTGCATTTGAAAAAGGGGATATAGGCACCTAGACAGCTCTACTTACAGATTTGTGTTCATTGGAATTACTTATGTGACTAACAGCCTTGTTACACCTTATTCTGTGAGCTGCATAAATGTTGATCAGTATTAGGTTGGAGTTTGGAGCATAGGTTGGAGTTTGGACAAAGCGGGTATCAAATTAAGGTACGAATAGCTAAATCACATTGGCGCACATGTAGATGTTAATGCTGTGTCAATGGATACACGTTGTGTTAATGCACATTAGCATGTCTGCTCACGTGCTAATGTGACATAACTGTTTGTGCCAAAAGTTAATGATCCTTAAATGTACATTAGCACATCCATGTGTAGATGTGCTCCTAAACTGCCTAATGCAAGGCACATTAAGCTCCAGGGCTCGGCTGGGCTGGGCTGCTCTCTGGCAGTCCCTAGCTGCAGGTTATAAAAGCCTGCAGCCATTTTGTACCTTGGGGCACACTACACAGAAGCCTGGAACATGTGCACTTCCTGGGACCAGTACAGGCCTTGTGTGGCCCCCTGGACAGATCATAGGCTGCCTCTGCATTGCATGTCCTTTTTCCGCAGCTGCTGCTTGGCCACAGATGAGTGTTTGATATCGTAGCTCAGGAACGCAAGTGAGGAATGCAGGTGTGCCCAAGGCACCAGGAGGATCATCAGCAACTGGGCATAGAGGCTTGGGCATCTGTCAGCCTGCACAAATAGCAAATTGTGCACAGCAGGGGCATGCCTGGGGCACAGCGGGGGGAGGGGCAGCCCCCCCCCTCTCCCCAGAGAGACCCCTAGTGAAGAGGGCAGGGGCATGGCCAGCTCCTTGCCCCAATCATCTGGGAGCCCCATGCACCCTGAGCCTGAGTACCATGGGCTGGACGGCAGCAGAGCAGAGCAGTTAGATTGCACCAACTGCGCACCATGGATGGGACCCTCCTGCTCCAGTGGCTGGTGGTGGTGGCAGAGGAGTGGGAACTGCTGTGCCCCTTAGCGCCCCCCTCCCCTCATTGTCCCCCACTCTGCGCTCAAAATCCAGAAATATTGTAAATAGCTTTCCAAATGTAAGTGTTGTTTTTTTTTTATTTTTGTGGGTTGGGAGCGTGATAGAGGGGCTTTTTTGGTTTAGGGGGAGGGGGGAAGGGGTTCTGTTTTCGAGGCAATGGGGGGAGGCATGGGGGTGAGTGTTGTTAGGGAAATAAAGGGTTCTTTTTGTTTCAACCAAGGGCATGGCCTGAGAGTAGTGCTGCGAGTAAGTAAGTGTGGGGGGGGGCAGGCATGCTGGAGCAGGGAGTACTGGAGGAGGAGGTCAACCAGGGCCCACCTCACCCCATGCTCCGGCCCCTGCTGGTGAGTGCACGACTCTCTTGGGGCCAGCACTATGGCCGGCAGGAGCATGGGGCACTGGTCATCACTGGGAGGTGGAGGGCTGAAGCAGAAGGGGCTGGGTGTCACTGGCAGGGGCAGCCCTTGCCCAGGGGGGCAGGGTGGGGAAGGAGGAAGCTGGTGCATGCTGCTCCTGCTTTAGGCACACAGCTCCTGAGCAGGGAAGGGGCTGGCCAGGGATCAGGACCGTTTCCAAGATGGCTGCCAAGTGCTAGCAGCTGGCTCTGGCTTCAACGTAACTCCCAAGTGACGACAGCCATGTGGCTGGAGCTCCCCCCAGTGGCCAGAGGGGCACATGGCACAGCTGAAGGGACTTGGCACTTGATTTATTGCCAAGTCGCTGCACGTGTAGACACCTGGCAAAAATTGCATGCTGGGCATTAGCTTAATGCACAGTAAATTAAGTTGTGCTTAAATGCACATGTAGACATGCCCTCTGTGAACATTGTGTGTAAAGGTTAATAGTGTGCCTGCACAGCTCTGATTTACTACTAGAAGGCCAGTGAGCAGGGGCATGGCTAGGAGCCAGGACACCTGGGCCCTATCCTTGCTCTGGGGAGGAGGAGGAGGAGGGAGTTACTGGGACAGGTGCATCCTGGAATGCTGGAGGACTATAAATTGTTCATTTTATCTTCATGGAGCAGACTGAAGTTACCCTAATATAAGCTAGGTAGCATAGCCCAGAGTAAACTGTTGCCTGAAGTGGCATAACTTTGAGATGCTCAGAGGGCACTTAGCATGAGCTAATGATCTTTAATGTGAGGACACTCAAGTTTTAAGTGCCCTTACACATTACACTTAGACCATACTAACTTCAATACAGTGATTTGCAAATGAATCCTGGTCTGTGAAATCCTTCTTTACATGTATATGCTAGCTCAGATGTCTTTTGTTGGAAATACCTGTATTTTAGAGAAAAGGGAATTTCCTCTGTTTAAAAAAAAAAAAAGAGATTAAATGCACAAAAAATGTATTATCACCACACTACCATTGCACACGTATTCTAAAAAGCCAAGGATTGAGCTAAGTCTTCTGTGAGCATATATACATTATGATTTTTTTTATACTATTTGTGATTGTAGGGTATCTGAGCATACTTTTATCTAAGATTATAGAATAGCACATTATACGATATATTATACTAGGAATATACATAATTAAAATATTTTTATGCATTGAGGACCAACCTTTTTGGCAGATGTGCCACAAATTAGGCCTATACTCTCCCTGAATACCACTCCAATACCTTTCCTCTGCCCGATTTGGCTGCTTTGCTTTCTGCTCCTGTCCCATCTCCCTCTGTGGTACCTGTAACCTCCCTGATCTGCCAGGTGCTACACACAGGGCCTCTGCATGCTGCTTGAGACATGTGCCACAGATTGGCTACCCCTATTGTAATGCAGTGATAAGAAGGCAGATTTAAGGCTGTGCTTTCAATTTTAAGCATCCAAAGACCAAGACATGCAAAAATTAATGATAAAATCTAGGCATTACAATAATAAAGTCCATACATGTAATATTCTTCACACATATTGACAAATGTGCTCCTGGTCAGCCGGGCAGCAGGGAGCGGGAGATTGCTCTTTGCCTCCAGGAGCTACCTGCTGCTACAGCAGGCTCTGCCACTGGAGCCCAGGCAGGGACAATGTACCCATTCCCTGACAACAGGGAGCTCCTAGTTCCTGCTCTGTGATCATGGGGCCTGGGCTGGGAGATCCTTATCTCTCAGGCTGAGTCCCACAGTCACAGGGCCTGGGCTCAGAGATCCTTATCTCCCAGCACCAGCTCTGTGGTTGCAACTGCGGGACTTGGACTGGGAGATAAGGATCTCCCAGTGCTGGCCCTGAGATAATGGAGCTGGTGCTTGGAGATAAGGATCTCTTAGCCCTGGACCCATGATTGCAGAGCAGGAGCTAGAGCTCCCCCTGGCTGCTGTACGGGCCAGTTGCAGGGCCACAGGGAGTAGGAGCAGTCTGCTACTAGGAGCAGCAAATCTGCTTCTGCATTGCTGCACATGTAGACATGTGCCTGGGAGAGTTTACTCTCAAGTAGTTTACTCAACAGTAAGCTGCTCTCAGATCATTGCACATGTAGACACACCTGCTAAAAAAAACATTCTCTGACTGTCCCTGATCTCCACAGCTATGACTTGCCACTAGAGGGCTGGTAAGTAGGGGCCTGACTAGGGGCTACAGTTCTGAGATGTCCATACAGAATAGGAGGGTAGGGAGAGGAGGCATTGCATCCTGAGGGTGCTGCATCCTGACTGAATCTTGGATTTCTGGGGAGTGGCCACACGCTTTTGGAACATGAGCTGGGTAACATGGATCAAGAGAAACCTTCCCTGGAATGTTGTAAATGTTCGTGAAACCACCAAGTGAGAGCCTATGACCTGTGTGTTATTAAGTTAGATTTGATAGACCTGCTAATAAGAAATGATTTACAGGCAATTTCAAGTGATGGCTACAGACAGAATAATGAACGTTTTGATAAATAATGTTTTACGGCAAGATCAAGGTTTTTTATTCATTTTTGCCAATATGTGCGAAGAATATTACATGTATGTACTTTATTATTGTAATGCCTAGCTTTTATAATTAAGCATACAAAGATCAAGAAATATAAAAAATTAAGTTGAAAACACAGCTTTAATTCCTCCCTCTTACCACTGCATTACAATAGGGGTAGCCAACCTGTGGCATGTGTCACAAGCAGCATGGAAAAGCTGTGTGTGTAGCATCTGGCAGGTCAGGGAGGTTAGGGGGTTTTCTCCTTGTTAGGGGTCTACATGTGTGCTACTTCACAGTTACTAATTATGAGTAAATTTGCTACTTGCATTTGCAAGTAACACATTTATTCACAATTAGAGCCAATTACTGTTGTGGTGGCTGTACCTTGTACACATGGACCTGTACTGCTCAGTAATTAACTCTACTGTGTGGTAAATAAAGCATCTCATGCAGATGTGCCCAGACTGAACCCGTACCTTCTCTAAACTGGATCTAACACTAACAGCAATCATCATTTGAGAAGCTTAATGTTCAGAATGTAACAAGGCCCTTAGGCTGGTAAGATGCTAATGAAACTGATTTTAATGGAAACTATTTTTACATTTTGAATAAAAACTTTGCAATTAATGCGATCAGTCTTAGCTTTCTATTCAATCAATTTCCTATTAGTATATCTCATAGGGTTGATAGCTCAAATCCCAAAAACAACTTCATATCCTTAGAAAGAAATAGTAACGAATAATCTACACTCAATGCTAAGATTCAACAAAAACCTCAGTTCATAATGACGTGCAAACAGCTCCCTAGATTAAAAAAAGAAAAGAAATGAAATGCCTCCTATCTACTACTTGATTCTCCATTCTTCTGAAATAAAGCTTCACCAGCTTTTTTCTTTTGTATAGCATAACAGCACAGTGGTCATATAAACTGGGCATACATGCCAAATACTGGATATTTGGCACAAAAAACATTGCCACCCAATTATTTTCACACTCAATTCAAATTTAGGTGAATACCCTCCAACCCCAACAGGAAGTGCAAACTCAGCAGATGCACATCACTGTACTTTTCAACCAGTCAAAGATTGTTGCACAAGAGTCAGTCAGTCTAGCTTACATAACACAGTAAAACAAGCACCAGGATCATGTCTAATATCAAATCAATGTACCATGGATAGTCAGTGATGCCCTTATTATTTATAACATCAGAAAAGAAGGTCCTGATTTAGCCTGAGTCATCAAAATTAGCTGGATAATGCCACAGGCATAATCCCATTTGTCAGGCTGCTTATTTCATTATAAACATTCTCACAATAAAACAAGAATGAAGAAGGATGAGACATTTTGTTTTGGTCTGGCATCAAGCCTGAAATGCAAGAGATGACACTTCAAAGAAAAGCTCTTGCAAATTTCTAATTATACTTTTAAAATCCTACTCATAAAACTCCTTCTCATCCTACTCATCCTTCTCATACCTTAAAAATCCTACTCATCTTCTGAAATGGAGTGTTTCCTTCAAAAACATGAATCTCATCCTTTCTGCTTGGGTAATAAAACTCCCAAGATGTAATGTAGCCTTCAACACGCATGTCAGCAATTCTTCTTCTGTAATGGCCCTAAACCTCTTAGCATTTTCTATCTTCCTTTTTTTTTCATGGTTTACCATCCCCATATGCAAGTGTAGCAAATTATATCCTGGACTTGATTTTTGTCAGTCTAGATATTAATAAAGTGAACAAAAGAAATACCTTATAATACTGGACTGGGTGTCTTCTCCTAATTTCTGTCCCCAAAATCATAATACTTTCTGTCCAGCAGTGAAAAACATGATATGATCTTCCCCTAAAAAGCTCATAGAAAAAGGCCATTCCCAAAATAAGCTTTTCAATAACCACACCCCACCAAACAGGAATGAAAACACTAGTTTAGTAGGTTACAAAGACTTAAGAATTAACCATAAATGCACTGGGAACTGAAGTCCCCATTCTTTTCCTAATTTCTTTAGATGTCTCTGGTGACCAGGGAAGTAGGAAGAAAGTAAACATAAGTATTGGTGGAAGAAAAGAGGAGCAGATATTGAGAGAGACTCCAACACAAGGAGTTCTTCTGAAATAAAGACCCACAGATTGAAAGGAAAGAAGATGGGATTATTGGTAGGATTTTCAAAATTTTCTCTCCCAGATGCTTTTGATAATCCAACCCTATATTTTCACTACCCATCAAAAAGTTATTAAAAATGAAAAAGTGTGAGAGAGAGAGAATGAGAGCAAGAGAAGCCTGTGTTAACAGATTGTTAGGGTTGCACGTATTCTTAAATAGAGGATAATATTTTTCAGCAGAGACCATGAGCCATTCATTACACAGGTATGCTCTATGGGGATAGATTAGGGATACATAATGAATGAGTCTGTAGCATTTCTTCCTTCATAGCTACTTGTCCCAGGCCTAGTATCCTTGTTTAAGCAGTCTTCTTCCAGGCTCCTTCTACTGGATTCTTTGGCCAGACAGCAACAGGTTCCCCTCTTTGTCTTATTCTCCCACACTAGTCTAGTTCAACCTTTAGCTCTCAATCTAAAATTTCCTCCCCAGGCTTCCTGCCTCAATCTCCTCCTTCAGGCTCTGCACCTTCCCCCATTTCAATTTCTCAGGCTTCTTCATGTCAGTCAAGTTGCTCCCTCCTCATTCTGGCTGAACAACAACAGCAGAGGCATTGTGAAAACAGGAGATGCAACCTCCCTGGTTGCTTAGGGAAAGTCCCAAATTCTTCAAGCTCAAGGTTCTGTCAGTATGGACAACATTTTTGTCCCTGATCCAAAGTATGCCCCTGATCAAAAAGACTCTAATTTGAGCTGGTTCAAAATTTCCCAGAAGAACATTTTCCCATCATAAAATGTCAGTTCATCTCAACCAATGTACTGAAGTACACTTTTATGTCAGGATTCTTATGGAAAACTACCTTGCTTCTTGCCAGCTGCCCTACCGTGAATTCCAGGTTCCTGACTTTTTGGCAGCCTGAAGAGGACTGCTTGAGAGGTAGCAGCCCTTGCTCCTGAGCTCGTACCTTTGTGGCCTGCTTAAGAGACTGAACTTCCAGGGCTTCCAGGCTCTGGGACAGTTCAGCTCACCGGGCCAAGACTCCCAAGGCCAGGGCTCCTAGGGCTTCTAAACTCCTCACAGCACAGCAACTGTTGCCTCAGAGTTAGGTTTCCTACCTTCCTGGCTCCTCAGCAGACTGGATATCCAAAGAGCTCCAGTTCTTAGGCCAAGGTGGCCTAGCAGTCCTGCCTCTGTAGAGTCTTGGAAAAACTTCAAAAAGGTCCAAATGAAATGTCATTTTCACTTTTTCTCAATTACATTGCAGAATCCCTATTGCATGGGAAATATCAACATTTCATTTTTCATTCCATTTGGGAACAAAATTTTATTTTGAAATTCTGCAGCTTCCCACAAAAGTGTAATTCCAGTTTCTCAACAGTTCTAGCGGTAAGAATGTATTTAACATAATAACAAAATATCTTTTTCTTTTACCCTTCCCTTAGAAATGGCTAACCAGTCTTTGCTGAATTTTTTTTTTTAATTCTATCTGAAACTATGTCCACCTTGGAAAATTTTAGTCCAAAAGATGCAGGTGAAAAAGTTATGAGCAACTAAAAAACAAGTCACAGTGGATGTATTAGACAATTTTATCAATAATATTTCTATCAGTTCCATTCAAGAATCAATTCAAACAGACAGACATCATTATCTGTTATCTGTGTAGGGTAAACGTGATTCTTTTTTAATAATGCAAAAAAATCCTTGGGCACTTATACATGTAATGACAGCATAGAGCGGGGGTTGTTAACTGGGGTACATGTACCCCCAGGGGTACTTAGAAAGGCCCAGGGGGTATGTACAAGCAGGCGAGAATGGAGCACCACCACCCACCATCTTGTGCTGCTGCCTCCCAGGAGCAGGGCCAGGGTGAGGCAAGGGCAGCAGCGCCTCTGCAGGCCATACAGGCACTGACTGGCTGGCTGGATGCAGGGAAGTTGGGGGGGAAGCTCGCATGCAGTGGCCGCTACCACCACCCAGCACCGCCATGCGCCACTTCCCCGCTCCATGTTCGGCCACGTGCCACCCGCTGCCTCCACTCCGTGTCTGGCCGCCAGGGATACACTTACCAAAAAAAAAAAAAAAGTTGAAAACCCTGCCATAGAGGCTAAAATAATAACGAGACACTATTTAAATATCAAATACATACTTATAGTTTAATTATATCTTTTTTGTGCTTGTTTTTAAAATAAACCTTGCCTTATTACACATTTAGGGTTTTTGGGTTTTTTTTCCTATTTCCAAACTAATCCTTATTTATGTGAATATGTTTCCTATTAGTCACTCTTTGCCAAATACTTTGGACAGAAAAATTTCAACATCAGAATTTTACTCAAACTTAGATTAGCCTATATATTATCTGAAGCAGGAAACTATTTGCTTACATCACAGCAATGGTTCTACTATGTGAATGGATGACTGAAATATCATAAAAAGAACACCAAGAATTAATTCATTCTCAGTTTTAAAAAGTGAATACAATCAAAGTATTTCTTCTGCATGTGAATCTAGACAGAAGGTAGGGAAGGGTGGGTGGAAACTTAGGGCCCTGCTACATGTTTAAATAAAAGCTGGATAGAAAATTGCTATAGAGTTGTTGAATCCAGCTGGGATTCAAATCCTTGGAACTGCTTTTGACAACTCTGATACATTTTTTATGTCCACCCTTTATAAATGACATTCTGGTTACTTTGTTTTGTAGAATCTGCTTCTTTTCACTATGCTATTGTAAATGGAATCACGGATTGGATACTACACACCTACATTAAATAATAAAGTATATTACACTGTAGTCTATATTATGTAGGTAAGCATTCAAGAGTAAAATTGCTGCTTTACTGGTGTCTTCTTATAAAAAGAAATATTGCGGAAAGGGGAAAAATGATTTGTATCCATTAATTTCCTCTTACCTAATGGGAGCTTTAGAAATGATGGAGCTTCCCTGAGGTACTGAACAGTGATGGTAACTTCATCGCCAGCATTCCTCAGTAGATGTACCTGTCAGTATGACAAATAATAGGTACTTTACCAAAGAACAGGCCACAGAAAGCAAAGTAGTCTACAACAAAACCTACATCTCTGTTGATCTGTTAGAAATCCAATACTAATGATTATTATTGAAATGAAAAATATCTTGAGGGTCAAATCACACCAGCAAATGATGAAAGCAGGTATACACATCATTATTAGACATCTAAGAAGTTAAAAGTCAATGAATGCCCTGAGTTTATATAAAGACTGAATACAATATCTGAATTATTTTATGCTATACACCTGTCACAGGATGGTGACTAACGTGTATATATATTTCATACTATATAAAATGATCAAAAATGGTTATTACATTATTTCTCTCTCTCAACTGATAAGAATTGGTAGCAGGCTCTTGTTTTTCCTGGCTATCCAGAGCAATTCAGCTTAGCTAACAATATAGAAGAGACTAATTTTAAATATATATTGAACTAAATTAATAAAAAAAGGTGTGATCCCTCTAGCCTTTTAGTATACTAAAGAAGGAATTTTTGCTCAGATACTCAGAAAAAGGGACCTATGGTGGATCTAAACTTCTCTTAAGGGGGGAGACTGTATTTCCTGGTTACAGATCCTGGAGGTTCCAAGGGAATATAGCATAAATGGTACTGAAGTTGCTTGTACATGGCTAAAACTATCTATATGTTTTTTATTTCTTTCTTCCACATTTAATAGCAGTAATCTACAGGGGTGACATAGGGGCTTAATCTTTTGTGCTAGAAAAGGGAGCTGGCAGCTCCAAAGTGATCATACTGATGGAAGAAAACCATTAGTATGTAGTTCCAGAGCCTAGTGAAGGAAGGAAGGGGGACTGAGGCTAATGCAAGAACCACTGGCATTATTTGTATTGAGAGGACTCTTTGCCCAGTAAACATTTTAACATTCATTCTTTAGTTTCTTTATTCAGATTTCTCAGCAACTGATGATTATGACCATATTTACTCAAATAGAAAATGACCCTGGTTGTAAGATTATTCCCCAATAATTAGGTTCTATATATGAAAACAAATTATAAATTTGTTACAATTTTCCAGGTATACAATCTAATTTTTGGAGGTTTGCCTTCAATTTGTCCTTCTCCTACTGCAAAAGCAAGGAAAGTAAATCTAGGGGGTCAGGTAGTGCCTCACCCCAACTTTTTTTTCCCTGGTAGCCCCTTCCCCCTCTCCTTGCTCTCAAGCCGTGTTCTCCCTGAGTACACAGAATTGAGGAACACATTTGAAAATAACAGCCTTGAAATGAAACATGACTGTAGCCATTTGCATATAGCACCCATAAACTTAGCTCATCCAGAATTGATGTATGTTACATGTTTCTGAAACTGGTGCAAGCTTTATCATATGTACTCCATAAACACACTTTTTAGCAGCACTTTGACACCTACTTATTATATGTAGAACAAGCCATGTAATAGATTGGTCCAAAGCCAAAGATTATGATTTACCACATAGTTCATTGGGCTGGCCCCCACCAGAGCGAATCCTCAAGGGCATTTCAAGTCATAGTGACCCCACAGCTCAGCACTGCTCAGTATGGATGTGTACTCTAGATCCCGCACACAAAGGATCCATGTGCTACTTAGCCTCCCACTCATGACTAGGAGTAGATGTTCTTGTCTTGAATCCTAGGATCCTCCAAAAAATGTTTACTCAGATAAGGGGAAGGGCAATATGGTCTAGCTTTACCTCATGGAGGGTTGGGCCATACTAATCATATGCACCAGGCTGAGAGAGGAGGCAATGGAAGGATTTTGAGTGAACTGCTTGGGACCTTATTTAGTGATATTTTCCAGGCATTTAAGGCTGGTGAAAAAACAGGAATTACTGGAAAAGGGAAAAAAAAAAAAACACAGCTCAGATGTGGGAGTAAAACATATGCAAAATAATGGCTCCCCAAAAAAGTGAGAGGTGGATTGGGGGGGAGGGGGTGTACTTAATAGGCACTACCCTATGTCTTATTCAGCTGGGCTGTACTAACCTATCTTTCCCCAACAGTGGCACAGCTTCTTGGCCACCTTTGGCTAGGATCAAGTGCAGTGCTCAGATGGAGGCCCCAGTATACTGCCTGGATTGATGCCAGAAGCTCTGGGGGGACAGTGACAGAGTACTGGGATGGAGAAGAAGGAGGAGTTCTCAGAGCCTAGAAGAGCATCAGTGGTGGTCTTGGAGAGGGGAGTAACAGTTCTGGATGGGAAAGTGGACCAAGGGATGAGAAACGAATCAGATAGTGGAAGCCATGATCCAGCGTCTGATGGAAGATGGACAAAGGTGAGGAAGAAAGGATGAAAGAAGGTAGGAAAGAAAAGTGCGTTGGGTTTGGTGGTGTTGGAGGAAGCTTTATTGAAAAAAGCAATGAGGAAAGAGTCCAGTCAGCAGGGAGAACAGGAGAAGAGGAGAGGAGGTCAGGAGGGAGAAATGAGGAAAGAAGCAGTGATTGAAGGGAAGAGGAAGACTGGTGGGAGGAATAAACCAGATCTACAAAGAGAAAGAAGATAGGAGGAAGGAAGAGTTGGAGCACCAGGCAGGTAATCTACACCTGAGAGTAAGAGCAGTAGTAACAGGGGAAGGAGAACAGAGAAGTCAGACAATGAATAGATATGAATTTATAGATTTTTATTTTAAAGTTTTGGATGTTAAAGTGGAACATTTGAATAGCCTGGCCACCTGTCCTAACTGGAAGTCTTGGGACATTTCATACTGGAGCTAAGAAGGTTAGGATTATTTTTTGGAAGATGTATGCAGGAATAGGTGAGAGAGGAGAACTGAAGTGGATACGTTTTACTGTAGGAGAAAAGACAAAAAAAAAGGACAATAATTATTTGAATGTACACAACCATGCTTGAGATGGGAGAGAGAGAGAAATGGCTGTAGAATTATATACCAAAAGTTATGTATGTTGAGAAGATATATGATAAATATGGTATATGAATTTTCTGGAGAGCCTGGGTGCTAATGGGGATGGAAGAAAGGAGTCCTGGAAGAATAATACACCTTCTGGCAGTAATCCAAGTAGGGCCACACAAAGCATTTACAATGTATTTCAGACAGCCTGAGCTCTGTAGCAAGTGTGGGCAGGAAGGATACTTGCCTGCATACTGCCAGTCTACAATATTCTACTGATGTGAAGGGAAAGGGTACAGGACAGTGCAGTGCCAAGAAATACTGAAGTGTGTTATTTGTGGGGAAAAAGGACACGTACAGTGCCAATGCCTGTGTTCCTTCTCAAATAAAGCTAGATCTACAGGGGAGCAGCAGAGACAGGAAAAGAAAAGTGGAGAAGATAATGTTCAGCTGGAATTCATGACAGTGGAGGAGACACCACAAGAAGGAAGAGCCAGGGAGGAAGAGAGGAGTGAAATTTCAGTAGGCTAAGTGGAGCAGCTAGCAACAGAGGAGGGAAAAGAAGGCAACATACATGGAACAAGTGACTTTGATACATAGGAGAGAGAAGGAAAAGAGGAGAGAATGATACAGGAAGAAGGAGGAGAGAGGATTTGGCTAAAGAGAAAGAAGAAGAGTGCCAAATTGGGAAAAGAAATAAATCACATGCTATCAAGCTTAGAAAGAAGGTGGACAAAGAGAGAGGGAGGGAGGGGGATTGGTTGACAAAAGCTCATTGGACCAAATGTGGTCTGGGTCTAATGCAGAGTGGAAAGGGGTGGGGGGGGAACAGAAAGGGATGGGAGAGGAGAAAGGGAAACCTTTTTTAAATGGTAAAGCAAATAAAACAACTGGTAATGACTACTATGGAGATGAGACCAGAGGGAGGATTAGACCCAGTGGCATCAAGCCACAGCATAGAAGACTCAAAGTGATAGAGATGGGAAATGTAAATGGACAAGCATGACTTTGTATATTGCATTTATAAATGTCAGAAGTGTGTTATTGAGGAAGAGGTGGGATAAGATTATGCCAATATTGAGTGGGGTCAAAACAAACATAATATGTTTGCAGGAGTGTGGAATCCCATGGGAAAGGGATTACAAGGGTTTTGTAAAGAGTTGAGGATAGGGACCATTGTGCTGGGTGGGGAAGGTTGTAAACTAAGGGATTTTGTTCAAGAGTGAGAAAGTGGAAGTGTGGTAAGTGCAAGTGATTGTGGAAGGGAGACTGAAATGGATGGTGATGGAGTATGAAAAGAAAGTCTTGGAAATTTTTACTAAGGAAAAAGAAGAAGGAAAGAAATTGGAGGTGCATGTAGGTGGAGGTAAGTAGCAAATTTCAGTGGGGGATTTTAACTGCATTATCAAGAGGGGTATAGGAGAGGGGAGGGAGGATAACGTATCAATGAAGAGGGTATTCAATCATACTGAGGACTATGGTGAAGTGTCAGCAGCAAAATTAAATAAGATGAAAAGTACATTGATGGGTGTGGGGAATTGGGAGAATTTACAGAAGTTCAGGCTATGGAGGGTAGAGGGTGTAATCAAGATTTTGGGAATGCCAGTGGACACCAAAGGAAAAAGAACACAGGCATGGGAGAAGTCAGAGGTAAGAATGATACAGATATTGGGGCCATGGAGTGGTAGAATGTTATCTTTCAAAGGTAAAGTGGTTACAGTAAAAACTGTACTTTTGCTGATCATCCTTTACATGGGAGTGCTGTATCCACCATCATGGGAACAGATAAGGAGGGGACAGAGTCAGATATACATTTTGGGAGGGGTAAAAGAAGGTGTAGCCAGAATGGAACTATACAAATTCAGGTAATTAGAAGATTGGGGAATGCCAGATTTGGAAAGCCTTGTGTATACTTGTTTTATAAGTATGTTCTGTAAAGAGACAATGAAGGGGGTGGGGAACACTACATATTTCTATTATTGCCTTGCAGGAAGAATGTTAAGGAGAATGGGGGAGACTGGAAAAAGCCATGGGTATGGCAGCCACCAGCCCACTATGCAAAGATGGAGAGCTTTGTATGGGTAAATAAACTTGAGGGATTGGGATAAAATTGCTTGAAAGACCATA